ATATTGTGCCATTGTTTATTGACAAGAATGCAAGAATATAATGTTTTATAATTATCATCATTGTATTTGAATATTTCAATCAAAAGCTCAGGTGGTAAAGTCATTGGAAAAAAAAAATTGATTTTTTAATTTGTTACGCGCAATAAAATGATTTAATAATTAAAATATAAAAATTTATAATATAGTTTCAATAAACTCCGAGGCCACGAGATCCCCATGGAATTCAGTTGCAACATATTATTGGGTGTCACAAGTCAGATTAGCCTTATATACACAATGAAGATGAAAATGACTGTAGTGCTTTACCCCAATGTAAATTTCGAACAATCAATTCAAATCATCACGGATTCTCGCCCTATCTTCAAACAGTCATGCTGCCTTTTTTGTTTAATATTAATGTTAATGATGGTTACGAAAGCAAATACACCAATCATTCATTATCTTGGCAGAGAATTTTATGATAATTACCTAGGAGATATGACATTTTTAATTTCAATAAGATATTTGTAATAATATATATTAACGCAAAAAAAGGGCCTCTGGTTGTTAACAAATAGCACCTCTCCTCCTTCTTCTTTAGAGCCAAATAACAATACTTCTGGCATTACTACTGATGAATGAGTGGCTGTTCACTTGTCTTGGACTCTTTGTCTAAAAGAATTGATTGTTTTATAAAAAATTTATTTTGATTCACGCCAAATACAAAGAAAAAAATAGAGGCTTCGCACAAATACTATTACGATGCCAGTCCACTAGCACCATTTGATTTGTTTTTAGTCATTAAAGGAATATATGAAAATGAATTGATATTTTCATTAATAAACAATAATAAAATTTTACTAAATTACATAAATATTTGACTAACGAATTATGATGACAATGATGCTATATACAAATGTGATGATAACAATCTATCGTTTGATACTAAAACTAATAATAATAATCGTAATAACCGTAATCATTGTAATAATGAACGAAGATATAGTACAAGAACAGGATCTTAATCAAGATCAGTTTAACAAGACCTTAATAATTTAATCGTCAAGAACAATATCTTAATCGAGTTAGTCGTCAAAGAAGAAGACAGATACGATATAAAATAAACGTTCTGATAGGATTTTTTTTTAGGTAAGATTGGTGTTATAGATTAGGACTATTGGGAACAAAAGGAACAATATTAAATAAGACACGAATGATAAGAGATTTATTTCGTGTTTATAAAAGATTGCTCAAAACCCGTAACACTGCTTTTTTCCTTACTTGGGATAGATTGTATGATTTTGGTTTTGATCTACTATTTTTTTTTTTTTGTAAATAAACAGTGGTATGGGAAATAAGACGTTGTAGAAGAGTGATCATTATCGAACAGATCGAGTGAGCATTGAGCTGATAAAAAAATCAATTTTTACTAAACACAATTTTTTGGGAAGCATGAGATGAAAAAATGAGACGTTTCTTTGATTTAGTTAAAAATTATTTTATTAATTTATTTATATAAATATATATTATTTATTATTTTGCTAAATCTAATTATTTTTCATTATTCGTTCATCTGATGTTAAAAAAAAAATTTTGATCTTTCCTTACCTTTTTGGTTTTATTTTTTATTTTTTATCTACCACGTCCATCAACGTGTTGTTTTATGTAACATTTGTTTGATTTTTCATGCCTTGTTCATTTTTCGTCTTGATCACGTATCTTAATTTCGTTGTGTTTGCGATCATTTCATTGACATTTGTTATGTTAAGGTTATTTTGATTATATTAAGTGATATGGTCAAGAAAAGAGTTAGGAAGAGAGTTATTCTTCAACCAAGTCGAAAACCAACCCCTTAAATACATTTTCGAGTAGTACGATTATTTAATTTATTAGACTGCTTCAATGGTTTGTCGCGTGGTTGCTTCCAACTTCTTAGATTCGTTGACGAAATAATTGTTGGTGAAGTGATTGTTGACAAAATGAATCAAACCCATATCTATTTCTACGTTATCAAATTCACGATTTTAATTGGTCAATCAACAAATTGCGTGGGTTAAAATTTTGTGTTCTCTCCTCTCACTTGCACATCCTCGATTATCAAAACTTGTTTTTTAATGATTTATTTTTTTGTCCACGATAAATAAATTTATTTGATAGTTCATTTATTTTATCATATAATTTTTTAATAATATCACGCACGATCACATTCATATTGATACACGTCTTGAATAAATATTATGTTGTTTTTGGTAAACAAGCATAATCTTTAATAAATTTTTGAACAAATCCTTCGAAAAGTTTTAAGCTCAAAATTTCAGTTTTAACTGAAAGTTAATCTGGCGGGATCATCAGTATTTATAAAAACAGTGTGCCCCGGCTACAATATATTTAGAATCCTTGTCTTATATTATTAAAAGACATCTTTACTGATAAAACATCAAACTGTCATGAACATGTAGGCAAACCCCAACGAATGTATATAATTTTACTAATATTGTGACTAAATACTAGCAATTGCTTATTATTTTTTTAATAGAACACCAACGAAGGAAGGGTATAATGGTAGAAATAATATGGTTTATTATAGTGATAGTGAAATCGAGATAATTTCGACTTTTGGCATCAGCAAAACGACCGGAGCTGCATGTATAATCTTGTCCCAGAGGATTGCTGTTTTATGGGAAAAATTTTTAACCTAATTTTGATTTCTAAAGACGACATAATCGCGTTAGAGTTCGAAATCTTAAATTCATTTCTAAAAAAAGAAATTATCGGCATTGATGATAAATTTAAAGATCAGCAATACCACTATCAATTTTGTCTTTTCTTACCAAACAAAACCATTAAAAGTTCTCTCTTATAGAAACACGACCCATTATAAATAAAGTTGGATTAAATCTACAAAATTACTTTAATTAAATCATATATAGGTGGGTTTATGTTACATAAAAATGCGCACATTTTCTTTTATTTTAATAAATTTATATTGAATAACTTATTTATTCTTTCTTTAATGTTCAAAGTAAAATATTGACCATTTAGTAAAATCATTAAATGAATATTCAATGTATACATGCATTTTGTTTCTCAATTTGTTTTTATCAGATTTGCTTGTGAAAATATTCTTTCAACATGTGCATTGGAGAAAGGTATAAGGAGTGCTATTTAACAATAATTGTTAAATAAAATAAAATACATTTCTGTATTTTTACAGGGATGCAGATAGAATTTTATAAAGTTTTGTGAGTTTAACAATTTCCATTAAAAATTCTATTTTACTCTGACAATTATTCTAATATATAATAAAAAATAAAAATATGTTTGTTTATTTTTGGTTATCAATAAAAATAGGATTATACCCGAAAATATCAATTATTTATTTAAATATATATGATAAATAAATAATCTGCTTATTTTTGGTTATCAATAAAAATAGGATTATACCCCGAAAACATCAATGATTGAAAAACATACATCAATAAAAAATAAAAGTATGCCTGTTTATTTTTGGGTTATTAATAAAAATAGAATTATACCCGAAAACATCAATAAAAGTATTAGTATTAGTATATACTAGTACATATTAATATAATAATCGGATGTTTTCGGGTACACGAATTTTCCACGCAAATAGATTATTGGTTACCTTTTTAATGTAATACAATTATATATTTAAAAGTAAATTGGTCAATAAAAAGAGTCTGAAATTTTTAAGATTTTACATATAGTAAAATGCCTCAACTTTGAAAGCCAATAATTTTATGACAATTAAAAGAGTAAACCGATAAAAACGAAATTTAAATCTTTAGCTTTAATTTTCTCGGTTTACTTTTTTCATTATCATAAAGTTGTTGGCTTTCAAAGATCATCGATTAAAAAATTTCCCCAAATTGGACATTCCGATACACATTCCACAAACTTCCAAACATAATCATTCAATATTAATGTTTTGCACAGTTGGTTAAGCTATCCTTTTTTGTACTAATACTATAATTTAAAAACAAAGAGGGAGATTTGGAAACTATCTGCAAAAAAACCACTATTCCACGCATTTCTATAAAAACAAAATCATTCACTCAAATACTTCATTTTATTCAAAAAAAAAATAATGAGTAAATCATTATATAACAGTGTTGATTCTGTGGGAGAAGCATTTAGACCTTTCGTTTCTTTAATAGCCACGGCAAAAACTATAATACAACAAATTGAGAATATTTATGAGAATGCACAATATAATAAGAGAATTTGTAATGTATTTTTGGATCGTGTAGATGCTGCTCCAGCTTACATTAAAAAACTAGAACGTAAAAAAGAAGAAAATGAACACCTTTTTCGTGATGGAAATTATCAAAATCATTTTTTACGTTTTACCACTGTGTTATTCGAGATAAGAACATTTCTTAAGGATATTACTCATCTTTATGGATGCAGTAAATATAGTTCAGCAAAAAATTTCAAAGAGATGTTTGAAAAACTTACTCGAGATATTGATAATGTTATGAGAAATTTAGAGTTTAAAACGACTGTTGCTCCTGAGGAGCAAAAACGAATTGATCAACGAAGTCTAGAAGAGGATTATGAAGAAATGGAAAAGGTTAAAAATTATTTATACGCATATTATAATCAATATACTCTTGATTATCATTAAATCAATTTCATATATCCTAAAATCTATATTATATATCTTTTTAAAAAATTTAGTTTTTGGAGTCAATTCATGGTGGAATTGTTGATGATAACAAACGAATGAACACATCTTTGCAAGAAGTACTTATTATCAAAAATCAGGTAGAGTCAAAAGATAAACAAGATTCTAATGATAATCCTATAATGGCAACTCAAATATCATCAACTATGTTACAAGATCCTATGTATATAAAAGAATCTGATTACCGAGGAAAAAAAAACCAAATTTACAAAAAAATTTTGAAAGATGATGATCATAAAGAAGTTGCTTGTCAGCCTATAAAAATTCCCGATGAAGCTAGTTTACCAGTTGATTATCGAATTGTTCAATCACAATTAGCTATTTTGGGAAAATTGCATGATTCAAATAATATATTGAGGTTCTATGGTCTTTCTACAATTGATGATGAAACAATTATGGTTCTTGAGTGGGCAGAACTTGGTGGTTTGGATGATGTTTATAATAACTATAAGATTAGTTGGCCTGATAAAGTATCAATAGCTCTTGAAATTTGTCGTGGGATTACATTTTTACACTCATGTGACATCCTTCATCATGATATACGTTGTGGAAATATTATGGTAATTGAAAAAACATATTATGTGTGTACACACATATATATATATATCTAAATAATATTTATTTTAAAAAAATTAGATGACTAAAAAAAAGGAACCAAAAATTGCAAATTTTGATTATGCTCGTAATGTTCAAGATACTACCAGGGAACTGAAAAACTTAACAGTTGTTGTTCATTGGTTATCTCCAGAAAAGTTATATAATCTTAAACAATCTTATAATTTTAAATGTGAAATATTTAGGTAAGAAATATGGCTTCATTTTTATTTACCATGTATGTAATATGTTTTTATTTTATTAATATGTATTTTTGTTTTGCAAACAAATTAGCTTCGGGATGTTACTTTGGGAGCTTGGATTTGAAAGAATCCCTTATGAAAAATGGGACATGTCACAAATTAAAGATTATGTATTAAGCTACAAAAGAGAATTGATTATTTATGATGATTCAGATAAAGAAATGTTAAAACTACAAGAAGAATATTCAAAGATTTTTATGGGTGGTAAGTTTTCAAAATTATAAATTCTAGAATTTTAATCTTTAGATAAAATAAAAGTATTAATATGGGCATCAATTATTCTATTATCCTGGATAAGCTTGGCAACATGAACCCACATTAAGGACATCTCTTCAAACCATTTTCTTTCAATTGAAAAGTTTGTCCGAAAAATATGGCAAAAGAAATCCAAGCACCCCATTTCCAAAAAAAGAAAGTAATCCAGATGGCACTATAGTACGCAGTAAATATTCTGTTTCTGTTAGTGATAGTGAAGAAGTGCTAGAAACTAAACAAATTAATAAACCTGATTCAATTACACAAATTATTCCATTTGATGAAGGTTATAAAGCACATAAAAGAAAAGAGAGGCAAAAGGCTTGGGAATGCTTTAAAGCTCATGCTGAACTAGGAAACCCAGCAGCTAAACATTGGAAAGCATATTATATGCATGAGGGGTATTGTGGCCCCCCAGATAAAGAGAATGCAATTAAATTATATAAAGAAGCTGCTGATGAAGGAAATAGGGACAGTCAACTTCATTATGCATTTTCTTTGATGAATAGTAAGGCTGGTAATTTTGATAAGGAATTATTTATCAAGTATATGACATTATCTGCTGATAATGGAAATGTAGCAGCTGAATTTAATTTGGGTGATCTGTATTATTATGGAAAACTTGGAGTTCCTAAAGATGAAAAAAGAGGAATTAAATTTTTGAAATTAGCTGCCTTGCACAAACACCCAAAAGCAATTGAACTATTAAAAAAATTGGAAATTGATGTTTATAAAAGTTGAAAATTTACATTTAGTATTTATTTATTTATTTATTTATTTATTATTGGTAAACTAAAATTAAAAAAATTAATAAATTTCAATTGATTGAATTATCAATTAATATTAATCAAAGTATTATTTTTATTTCGAAATCGGCGATTCGGCATCACGGTATAATAATAATAATAATAATAATAATAAGCCGAAATAAATTCGATGTCCTAAAGTCGTAAAAGTCATAAATCGTAAAACCATAAAGCCATAATTATTTACGGTAGGTACATGTATATAGTGTATCATTTATTTTTATAGCACAAAAACAAAAAACTATCTAATAATTCTTCAGTGAAAATTGCTTCAAAAGAAAATAATGTCTGCCTACTTCATATTGATTCTTGAAATGGCCCAAAAGTTTTGATTCCTTTATAGCCCTTTGCTTTTTTGATTAATATCATTTGTTATTAAACCCATAGAACTCTTTCTATACCTCGGATAACCATTAATGAGAAAGGCTCTCCGCGATGAGAATTTTTTTTAATAAATTTTTTTTGAATTGTAACGTGGTTATTTATTAAAATACTTAGTTATGTACACATCAAGAATTCAACCTATTTGTACAGGATTGATTTATTTATAATAATAAAATCACCAACTTAGTAGTAATAGTAGTAGTAATCATGGTAATTGTGGGTGATTGTGGCAATAATCACGGTTCATTATATCCCAATCAATTTGGGATCATGTTATTAACATGAAATACTGCTAATAGAATAAAAATAGTTTTATTTATAAAAATAAAAGAATGTATTCTGTCAGGAGTAATCTGCGCACTTGATGATAATTTGACAGGAATGTACAGATTTTGATGACAATGAATGGCCCGCCGACGTTCAATGTTATTAAAGAACGTGAGGATTTGGCCATACATCAAGGGAAAATCGGATACTTTGCATGTAGGAGGTTAGGGTTCGGATAATAAAAAGAAAAAGAAATAGAAATATATAAAATAGAAATTTTACAAAAAAATTTTCATGCAACTTCTAACTGTATATAGTCCTCCAATTTTTGTCATACAAAAAAATAAACCGTGCAAATAGTTAAGTGACTCTTTGATTCAATGGATTAAATTTTTTTAATTGGAAAAATAGCCAGTTTTTATTATATTAACTAGACCTGTAAAAAAATATTAGCATTGCTTGTATATCTAGTTATTATTTTCTTAATATTTACCTTTTTGTATTCTAAAAGTCATGTGAAAAAATCCTATACATTCATGACCACAAATTTTATAGATATAAAAACTGTTCTCCAATTTCATCATGCCATCCAGTTTTTGCTTCATTAACGTTCATATAATCTTTTAAGGTTGAAATTGAAGGCATATGCATTATTGACTTAATTGTATTGTAAACAGATGTTCCTGCATTAGTATAACTGATATAGCTCAACAAATGAGCCTACATTATACATATAAAATTATTATTGAACATTTATTAAAATCAAATTTACAAATTAAAGTTAGAATACAATTTTAAATATTACATAGGATGGTATTTCAATTTATTGCACAGAATTTGTATTAACTCTTGAAGGATTGGATTTAATTTACTAGTATCTATCTGATTATTAACTACATTTTCTTACACATTTTTTATTAAATTACTCATTTCTGTAGATATAGATTCTTGTAATTGTTTAATTTCAACAGATTTTTGCTTGATTATCTAATAAAAAATATATTAATTTATATATTTATATACAGTACATACCTAATATAAATATAAACATATGTAACTGTTTACATTATGTTTTAAAATTATTTCAGTTAATAATTGTTTAGATGAATGTGCAATGCTTTTGCCTAAAATACCATTTTGATGCCAGAGACTAATTTATTCATTTCTCCTTTTAAATTTTTGCAATTATTACACATTAAATCAAAGGTATTAATAGTTCACAGTTTATATTGCTGATAATACTCTTCTGAGGATTCTTTATGTCCTAATGTTGCTAAAAGTTGATGACAGTAATCTTCTAATTCATTTCATCTAAGATACATTCCACGAACCTTTGGTAGAATTTCAAATCCTTATTTATGATAATATTGGCTAATTAGATATTGCACTTTAAATGGTTAAATACTTTTAGTTGAAAGGCCTTTGCATATTTTCATTTGAAAAAAATCATCAATTATATTTTCAATTTCTTCAATTGTTTGAAATGTCAGTTTATCCATGCCAAAAACTTTATCTATTACTGTTTGTGTATTAGTATTATATCTTTCCATTCAATGATTAATTTTTGTTTAATTATATTGTCATATTTTTTTCCATTAATTCAACACCCTCAGATATTTCTTTCTTAATAACTGATGTATAAATAAATTTTCATGAACTTTTTGTTGTATTCAAGTTTGAAATTCTTTCACAGAGAGAATTTCTTTTTGTTTAAAATATTTTTGTTCCCTCTCTCTAAGAATACTACTCAAATTGGCAGAAAATGGATCAGGTTTTAAAAAAATTGTAAATAAGGGAGAACATTTCCCTTTATATAATTTTTTAGTATGCTTTAAAAATGAAATCCAAGAGAAAAACATATTAAATTTTCTGCCACTTAGGATATCATGTACATAATAAAGATTATTTTTTTGGTCATAAAGAAGTACACCCTCTCTATGTATATTTGTGCAAGGAAAAAAAAATTTTTTTTGTCCATTTAGATCAGGTTGTGATTTCAGTAATAATTGTAAGGACTTGTTTGGCTTAGATTTCTTATTTTTCAATTCATTAGAAATGTCTACTATATAGAACATGTCCCTATCAATTTTATATATTGCAAGCATGCAATTTTGCACACAGCTCGGGATGTGTCCAATAAATATACAAGATAAAATAAATATAAAAGTCCAATATATAAATCTCCCTATCCTTGCACACAGCTAAGGGTTCTCAATTCCCAAGGCCTCCATCTTTGCACACAGCTAAAAGCCTTCCCAAAATATTCTATACTGTGCAGTTCCTACTCTATAGTACTAATGCTAAGTACTGTTGGCACTAGCCTAAGATAATAAAATAAAAGAATATATATATACAAGAAATATTTACAACTATATCACTTGAGGCGTCCCTACAAGCAGCATAGAACAATCAAATGGGGGGGGGGTTCCTAACCAATGATTAGTGGCCAGACCACTAACCATCAGAGAGGATCATGGAACAATTCAAAATGGCTTTTCCTGTTAACTATGCAAAAATTCGTAATAAGGTAAAATGTGTTTATTTAATTATTAACAATGAGGGGGGGGGGTATTTAATTGTTGTAGATTATTATGAATGTTATTAACATGATCCACATCACATTATTTTCTCACTTGGTCTAAAACCAAGCCTTTTTATACCTCTTAAGGTATTACAAATAACATGACCTTTAAAATATTTTGTCCAATAAAATATGCTTATTAATCCTATTTTCTGTATTACTAGCTTACTAATTGCTAATTACTAATGCTACTATATTTGGGTCAACTGAGCAATACAAATAATTCGAAGTAAATAATCATGTCATAATGATAAGTTAAATATAGAAATGATGTAATGATCTACATGTGTAATGTGGCGTAATTTGTGGCATAACCGTTACAATAAATATTAATATAAGGGGTGTTCAAAGTTGTTCCGTTCCTGTTTCCTGTTCCTTGTTACACAGTCAAAATTAAATTTTATTGGCTGATCAGAAGGAACAGGAAACGGAACAGAGAAACA